TGCCAGAGGGGTCTCCAGGGACGGGTCTGGGTGCAGTTCCAGTGAACACCAGGCTCTCCTGCACAGGGAGGATTTGCTTTCCATGACAGAGCTGCTGCTGAGGGAAGCTGCTCCATGTAATCCCTGCAGGGCTGGCTTTGGGATTTGAGCAGCCTTTGATGTGCTGGGGAGATGAAACAACAGCCCTGCCTCCTCCTGCTGATGGCTGAGCTGCCTTTGCTGCCGTGCCATTAAATGATTTCCTTTCAGAGATCATTTCTAAATCACGGCCCAGGCCCATCATCTGCCTTTCTGTACTGAGGGGATGGCTCCTTTCTCCACCAGAACGACGTGTCTGCTTTTATTGCTATTTATTGCTGGTTTATTGCTGCCTCTATCAGCCAAGTGCTGAGAAAGTTACTCTGTGGAAATTCCTTTGCATCTTACAGCCATATTCCCACCCTTCTGCATCATTCCATTTGCATCACTGCTGCAGAGCTGGGTGTGTAAATTAATTGCTTACTGACTGGAGGAGAGACAATAAATTAATAAACCCAGGACACCGTTGCTTTGTGTCAGTCTAGGATTCAGGTGAACACTCCAGGCAGGGCTAGCAAGAAACTTCTCAGAAAGGAGATTTTGTTGTTTAAGAAAACAAAAATCACTGAATGTCCTGGAAGGGTCTGATATGAATTTGGATGAAATCAAAGCTTGCCAAAAACCATGTTAACAATGTATTGCATAACTAGTGCAGATTATTGAGCTCAAGGGAGAGAGAATTCCCCAAACAGCATCAGCAGTCAGAAAAAAAAACCAACCCTAAACTCATTGCTATTATGGAAAAAAAGGGCGAAAACTTTGGCCAAATGCTAAAGGAAAATTTGGGCAGTGTAGGATCACAGAAATGCTTGTGCTGGCTCAGAGCACAGCGCAGTCTCTGCTGCAGCCCCTGCCAGAGCCAACAGGAGATGCTGAGATAAAAGCAGCAGAAGGCAGCAAGAGCTCTGTGAGATTCTCCCAGCCCACTTTCCCAGCTTCCAGCAATCCCAAGGACTTCCTGAGCCGCCAGGGCTGTCCTTGGGTTTAATATCCCCCCATGGATTCGTTTCACATGCTCTGGTCCAGTTCTCTGGGAGCTCGTGCAGCTTCCGCTGTGTCCCTCAGCAGGGATGCCCAGGGCAGCCGTGGCCCTCTGGGGACCCTGCAGGGCACAGAGAAGGGGCCACCCCTGACACTGCTGGGGCCAAAGGTGTGAAACGCAGCGCTCTGGGAAAAGGTGAGGCTCGAAGCTGGGTTAGACCTGGGCCCTCTGTAGGGTCTGCTCTGTGCTGTTTATAAAATACTTTATATTTTATAAATATGCAGGAGAGGAGCACGAGGCAGTAGCTCAGAAAGTACCTCAGGATGTTCCCAGTCCCAGCTGGGGAGCTCAGGTGATTTTTTGAGGATTTTGGGGTCAGTGGGTAAATGTTGGTATCCTTGGAGTCAGTGAGATTTTCTCCTGTGATTTCAGCCTGGCTCTATCAGTGCTGACACTGGCTTGGAGTGGAAAGCAAAAAGTTGGATGAAGTTGGTTTGGGGGCATGAATGCAGATGTGACTAAAGTATTTTATAAATTCTTCTTGAATTGGTAGAAAAAAAATCGGGAAAAATAAGTCAGTGCCTCCAAGATACATTAGACACCCTTTGTAATTGAAGTTTGCTGAATATAAAGTCTACCTTTATATTTATTTTCTGGTTGAAATATTTTTTGCCAATACCCATTCCACCTGTGTAAATGTATTTATATTTACATATATACATATGTACATATACATATATTTATATATGTTTATATATACATTATTTATATATTATACACAATATATGTATATTATACACATATATATATGTGTGTGTGTGTATATATATATACATATACACATCTGCATGTGTGTTCTTTGAGGGAGCACCATAGATCTTGCCCAAAGTGCAGCCAAACCAAGTCTTGCTCTCCTCCTTTTCCTGGTGGCACAGTCGTTTGAAAACAGGATTTTCCCCGCCCCGTTCCCTCCCCAGCCCCCAGGAGGGGATTGCTGATGGCAGCGCAGATTTGGCCCCTGCCCTTTGCATTTCAAACCCTCCTCGGGAATGGTCATAACCACCAGGGTAGGGAACAGGAAGCGAGTCCCTAAAATTGTGATGAGAGAGCAAAATGTGGGGTTAAACGAGTTCATCCTCACAAGGACATGCAGAGGAAATGTTGCCTTTTTGTGTAGCTGGAAACGGTTTGTCTTAAGAGGGGTTTCAGTTTGTCTTAAGAGGGGTTTCCTTCACCTGGCCCGAGGAAAAGGATGAGCAGAGCCCTGAAGTGCTGGGTCGGTGGATGTCACAGCTACATGAGCATTAGATCCCTTTCGGCCCATCCTTGCCTGGTCAGATCAGCATCTGAGCCCCATAAAGGGACAGAAACCCCACTTTTCCTCCTGGGTTCTCATAGTTTTATCCTGGAATTTCAAGTTGAAGCATCACAATGAAAGCAGTCCCATGGAAGAGATTCCAAGTGAGAAATCCACAAGTTTAACCCGGAGTTTATACAACTTGTCAATCTTCCAGTATTCCCAGCACAACCAGTGGTGAATCCTGGCTGTACACAAAATATTTTTCCAATTCAATTTTCCTCACTTCCCCGTGACCACCCTCACTGCCCCTCACTGCTCTGGGACCATCCTCAGTGCCCCTCACTGCCCTGTGACCATCCTCACTGCTCTGGGACCATCCTCACTGCCCCGAGGGCTCCACTGACCATCCTCACTCCCTCCTCTCCTCCTCTCCCTGGACAGGCTCCCTCCAGCACCTCGGGCTGATGGCAGGTGTAGAGAGGAGCTCTGCCCCAGCCTCAGAGCTCTGTCACAGCACTCCCAGCAGCAGCTGATGTTTGTCCAAAGCCCTGCTCGGTTTGAACAGTTCACCTTCCCAAAAGAAGTGTCCAAGGAGCAGGGGAGTGCTGTGCTCTTCTCTCAGGGCTTTCTCCACCGTTTCCAACCCGCGGCTCTCACCCAAAACTGGCTTTGTTACCCACAGACTGCTCTTTTCCCTGGTCTGACTGTCAGATATTTCTCCTCACACCTAAGAAGCTGCTTTGGCACCTTTTTCAGAAGAAGAGCAGGGCTGGTTTGCTGTGCCAGGCTTACGGAGGGGCTCGGGAGCTGTCTGTGACCCCCAGACTCCCTGTGCCTTCAGAGCCACAAACCCAGGTCAGAGAATGGTCTGTACCAGAGCCTGGATGGCAGCCCTGCGGACAAGACCTTTCCAAGACCTTTCTGAGACCTTTCTCTCAGCCCCGAGCGCGGGGGCTCCTCCAGGCACCCGGCCCAGAGGGGCAGGACAGCCCCCATCAGTGTCGTTAGCCAGGAATATTCTGATGGTAGCGCAGAGGTTCCAGCCCTCTGCATGGCACTGACAGGCGTCACAGGGTGCACAGGGACGGCAGCAGCAGAGGAATCGGCGGGATTTTTTGGACGGGAAGGGAATTGCATCCTTTGGAATCTCGTTTCAGCCGCTCGGAGCTCCGCTCCCGCTGTCTGGCCGGGACCCCTTCCGTGAGCGAGGAGCCCGTGCTGGGGAACACGCCTCTGCTTGCCAGGAGAGAGGAGCCAAGCACGCTTCCCCAGCTCCCTTCTCCCAGCATTTACAGTCCCGGTGGCTGGATGCCGAACCCCTCGTTTGTGCAACAATGCGGGACGAGTCTGGAGCTGGTGCAGGAGAGGGGAGCGATGGGGGTCGGTGGGAATGCTCAGGAGAGCGCAGGATCCTGGCGGGATTGTCTGGGAGCTGGGGGTGAACTCTGTGTCTGGGGGGGGGTTTGTTTGAACACATTGGCTGTGCTCGAGGAATGAGCGAGGGCGGCAGCACAGCCACCCCTTCCCTCCCGAGCGCCGGCGTCATGGAATCCCAGAGAGGTTTGGGCTGGAAGGGACCTCAAAGCCCATCCAGTGCCACCCCTGCCATGGCAGGGACACCTCCCACTGTCCCAGGTTGCTCCAAGCCCTGTCCAACCTGGCTTTGGGCACTGCCAGGGATCCAGGGGCAGCCACAGCTGCCCTGGACACCCTGTGTCAGGGCCTGCCCACCCTCACAGGGGACAATTCCTAATTCCCAATATCCTATCTATCCCTGCCCTCTGGCAGTGGGAAGCCACAGGACAGTGTCCTGTCCCTCCAGCCCTTGTCCCAGGTCCCCCTCCAGCTCTCCTGGAGCCCCTTTAGGTACTGGAAGGGCTCTGAGCTCTCCCCAGAGCCTTCTCCAGGCAGAACAGCCCTAACTCTGAGTGTTCTCCAGAGCTGCGGAAAATCGCACCCTCTGTTTAGTGAAAAGTTGCTCAGTTCTACTTAATTTGCCTCTCGAGTGCTAAGAAAGATCGACTCCAAGAGCTAGAATCCCTTCAGCTCAGCCAGACGCTCGATCCCCAAATCCTGTGCCACGGATCCCGTCTGGGGCTGCATAACCCGAGCTCTGTCCTCCCCGGCACGGCCGGTCCTGCTCACACAGCCCGGGGCTGCCCCCGCTGCGGGCCAGCCGCACCCTCGGGGCTGCTTGGAGAGCGGGGCTGCCGCGGGACAGGGACAGCCGCACCCTCGGGGCTGCTCACACTGCCAGGGGCTGCTGACACTGCCCGGGGCTGCCCCCACTGCGGGACAGCCGCACCCTCGGGGCTGCTCGGAGACCGGGGCACGGCCACCGCGCCCCCGCCTTCCTCCACGGCTGCCCGGGCAGGGGGGCTCAGGACAGCGGGCTGCTCGTCTCTTGTCCCCCCAGATCTCCTCGCTGCGGGGTGGGAGCGGCTCGGGAGCCGTGTCGGGGAAGGCGAGGGCTCCGGGTGCGGTTCCCGGGGGGAGGCGGCGGGGCCGGGCCCTGTCCCGTTTATAGGAGGGCGGCGGGCGGCGGCTGAGCCCTCCCCGTGCCGCAGACGCAAGCGGGGCGGCGGCCCCGGTTAAAGGAGAAACTTGACAGCGCCGCCGCCCGCTCCGCTCCGCGCCCGCTCCGCCGCCGCCAGCGCGCTCCGCTCCGCCGCGATGTGAGTACGGAGCGCCCGTCCCAGCTGGGAACGGGAACAGGGCTGGGGAACGGGCACAGCGGGAACAGGGCTGGGGAGAGCAGCCGGGGGCCCGCAGCCGAGAGGGAGGGCAGCAGCACCCCCAGCAGCACCTCCTCTCTGGAGCTCTCCAAGGAGAGCAGTCAGGGCAGCCCCCTCCCCTGTTCACCGAGGGCAGGCGGGCTGGGGAAGGTCCCCCCCAGCTCGGGACAGGGTCCCGGAGAGGCTCTGCCGGGGGAGCCGAGGGGAGATGGGCTGAGAGCACCCCAGGAGAAGAGGGGCCGAGGCAGCCCGGGGGGCTGGCAGGGGCCGGGGCTGACGCCCCCTGCTCCCCGCCCCTGCCCTGTCCTCGGGGGTCGCCAGGGCAGATGAGCCCGGTAAAATTCCCCCAGGGGTGGGGCCGGCGGAATTACCCACACCGAGGCGAGGCACCCCCCGGCCCCCTTTCCCCGCTGCCCGATCCCGGGCAGCCCCTCGGGGACGATGAGCTGGGCCCGAGATCTCCCGCCCGGCGGGCCGGGGAGCGAACATTCCCTTGGGAGGAGAGGGGGACCGGACCCCTCTCGGGGAGAGGGGCTGGGAGAACCCTTGGGGACATCCGCGCTATGAAGGTCCCCGGGGAGGGGACTGGGAGGAGCCCTCGGCGGGACGGGGAGAGCAGGCTCGGGGGAAGGTTTCGGGGGCCCCAGGGGATATCGGGGAGCAGGCAGAGGGCTCGGACCCCTCTCCGTCCGTGGGGCCCGCGGAGGGAGCCCGAGCGCCGGGCACTGCCCCAGCAGCATCCCCCGCGCCGGGCAGGGCAGAGCGGAGCGTTCCCGCTGCCCCCGGGACGGACAGACAGACAGACAGACAGACACACGCACTCAGCATCATCCCTGTCCCGCCGCAGCTCTGCCTCCAGCACCGCCAAGATGCTGCTGCTGCTGCTGGGGATCATCGTGCTGCACGTCACCGTGCTGGTGCTGCTCTTCGTCTCCACCATCGTCAGTGTGAGTTGGGATTTCCCTGTCCCGGGCTAACGCCGGGCACGGCTGTGGCGGGGCAAGGGCAGGAGGGGTTATTTTTGTTTATGGCTGCTTTTACAGCCTGGCTGTCAGCAGGGAGCCTGTACGGGCTGGGTGCTGGTCTCAGTAACGATGGCATTTGGGGGCCTGGGAGTTTGTGCAGCCAGGGGAAGCTGCTGGGACGCTTGTCTGTGCTCTGTGGTGGTGTTCAGGCCATCCACGTTGGTACAGAGACACAAGGGCTGTTGGAAAGCATCTCCTCATCCTCCCCAGGCTGGTTCACATCGAGGAGCAGCCTCGGAGCCCCCAAATCCCCTCATTTGGGGTGATGCTGCTCTCCCCTTTCATAAGGGAGCTCCACCTGCTATTGAGCTCCAGGCACAGGACCAGAACAGCCAGGCCGAGCAGAGCCCCTGGACGGGGCTGGCTGGCCACTGACTCCTCAGCACAGCCGTCCTGCTGCCCAGCTCTCCTCCTCGGGGCTGGGAATAAGGCCCAGCCTCTTCTCCTAGCCCAGCTTCCAAGGCTGACTCTGTGAGCAGCGGCAGGAGCGAGGGCTGGATGCAGCCCTGAGGCTTCCCAGCACTGTCCCGGGGCTGCAGCCCAGTGAACACGTCAGCTGCTGGGAGAGGCTGGAGTTGGCTTCGAGGCAGCTGCTCTGAGGAGCTGGTGGCTTCCAAGCTTGCTTCACCAGGGGCTTCTTTCCCGGATTTTTTTTTTTTCTTTTTGTGGTAACAGTCACGGAAAACGTTACAAAAATCTTCCGAGCCGTTAGGAATCACGTGGAAGCATTCAAATATCCCGGCCAGGCAGCGGGCGAGGCCGGCCCGGGGAGGGAAGCGCGGCCCCACGGGACTCGCTCCGTGCTAAGGAGCATAAAGAGCTTCTGTTCCCGCGCCGCGGGGCCGAAGCGGTTAAAAGCAAATACCGGGGCTGCCTTTCCAAACCCCTCTGGTCGGAAAAGCGCGGCCCTGGGAGGGGCAGGCACCCGGGGCTGCGGCTGCTCGGTGCCGGGGGGACGCGGTGGCGCTGGGGGGACACGGCCGGGGGTGCGGGACACGCTCACGGGCTGTGTCTGTCCCGCAGCAATGGCTGGTGAACGGCGAGCGCGCGGCAGACCTGTGGCAGAACTGCACCACCGGCGACCCCTTCCAGTGCATGGCATCCTCCTCCAACGGTGAGTGCCCCGGGACCGGGGCTGTGCCCCCATGAATCAGGGCTGTGTCCCCTTGGGATCGGGGCTGTGTCCCCTTGGGATCGGGGCTGTGCCCCCCATGGATCGGGGCTGTGCCCCCCATGGATCGGGGCTGTGCCCCCATGGATCGGGGCTGTGCCCCTATGGATCCCGGCTGTGCCCCCATGGATCGGGACTGTGCACCTATAGATCACGGCTGCCCTCCGGGATCAGGGCTGTTCCCTCCCGCCGTGTTTGTTCTACTCCCCCCGGTGCCTATGGACTCACAAGGAATTTCCCATATGGGTTGTTTGGGATTCCTCCTTGGATTTTCCCTTCCCCATCCCGTTGCCTGCCCTGCTCTGTCCCCTGCTGGCTCTGCTGTGTCCCGGTGTGGGGACACGGGGCTGGCCCGGCAGCGGGGGATCGCTCCCCATCCCCTCCCAGTCCCTGAAGCTGTGATGGGGCCTAGGACGAGGACTGGACCCGCTGGCCCTGGCTCTGCCCGGCTGCCCTCGGGCCGAGGGGCAGCTCCTGGCAGCACCAGGGCAGGGTGACACGCTCAGCTGCACTGGTGGTGACGGCTGGAGCCCTGTTGGGGGGTCTCCTGTAATTAGCACATCTTTGTTCTTGATGGCACAAACACGAGGTGCTCCTTGGTGCGCCAGGCCACTGGGCCCTGCCCGCTCTGCTGGAGGCTGTGGGGCTCCTTTTGGCACAGCTCCCTCTTGCTCTGCTTGTGAGGGGTTTGAGGGATGCACGCGGGCCCTGAGGACACCTGATCCAGAGGACACCTGTCCCCTACCTGGGGATCTGTCCTGGTTTTGTGCTGGCGCGGGCTGAGCTTTGGGCACAGCCCTGACCCCGGGGTTTGCTGTGCGAGCTGAGCTGAGCACCCCGACCCTTCATTCCCTGCACCTGCGCAGCTGGGGGCTGCCTCGGGACCCTGCTGGTGAACGTGGGTGTCACACCGGGTGACATCACCCCTGAGCTGTTTGCTGAGGTCAGCAGGGGAGGACAGTGTGCTGACACACCGTGACACGCACTTCCCAGGGTGACCCGTGGCACCGGGAACACAAAACCTGCATCAGAGAGTTGGGTGAGCCCGTGCCCCAGTTTCCCTGGAAGACAGAGCTAATGCCAGTGGTGCTGGGGCCACCATTTGTTTTGTTAGCCTGGTTGTGCTTTCTTGGGAGGATAGATTGTCCCAGGGCAAGCCCCAGTGCCAGAATGTCAGCACCATCACTGGGACACGGGCACAGCGATGCCATGTGGCCCTGGCGAGGGTCACAGTCACACGGGGAGCATTCCATGCTCCTGGAGGGTCTCTCAGTGATGGGAGGCTGTGCGAGGGTTTTTGGAGGTTCCCATCAGAACCCCCATCCTTCGGGAGCGCACCCACCGCTCGCAGGGAGGCGATGCCCTGCTGTCCCCACGCTGTCCCCACGCTGTCCAGGCTGTCCCCGCTCTGGTTCCTTTGGCAGTCCCGGCCCCGCACTGGTCTCTGCTGACGCCTGCTGGTGTCCGGGCCAGCCGGGAGCGGCTGGATCGCATCCCGAGCCGCTGGAGCCGGGCCCGCATCAGCAGCCGGCCGGGCCGGCTATTGCAGCGTCGGCAGCCCCGCTGCAGGGCAGTCATGCGGGCTGCGAAAGTGCTGAGCCCCGGCTTGTGCTGAGCCCTGGGTTGTGCTGAGCCCCGGCTTGTGCTGAGCCCCTGATGATTGTGCTGAAAGGCAGCGCCTGCCCCTTTAGAGCCCCGGAGCTCTAAAGCCTCCCCAGATCCTTTTGGCTTTTCACGCCCGCCCCGCTCTTTCTGGATGTTTACAGGACGGGCTGTCAGTGCTGAGAGAGCCCTGTCCCAGCTGTGCTTGGGTGGTTTCCGCACACCCCGCGGTCCTGCCGGGCTGGGAGTGTCCTCTGCCCGTTCCCAGAGCCTCTGGAGCCTTTCCAGCGCTGATGTTTCATCGTTAAAGGGACAATGGCCACGATGATCGTGTTGGAAATGCAGCCGAGCAGCTGAGTTGGGGTGACAGCCCTGATGCAGTGGCAGGTCCATGGCAGGTGGGGTGGAATGAGCCCATCTCTAACGTCCCTTCCAACCCAAACCAGTCTGGGATTCCAGGATAAAGTGCCCCCGTGAGCTGCCCTGTGAGCAGGAGCTCACTGTGCTCTCAGGCAGCTCTCACTCATCCAAAGACTCTGGCATCAGGACAAGGGGGTTTTGCTTGGACAAAAGCTTGTGCCCCATTCATCCTGCAGCCAGGGAGTGAGACCAGTGCTGCTGAGCACTTGCCTTCATCTCGTGGGACCCTGGATGCAGGTCCAGAGCCCACCCTGCTGTAGGAGCATAAAATCAAAGGGTATTTCCTGGGTTTATGGAGGAGTTTTCAGGTCTGTTTGTAAAAACAACAAAAATGCCACATGGTTTCCTTTCCAGCAGGTCCTCCCTCCCCTGTCACCGCTGCAGGAGCTGCTGTCAGCCACTCTTTGGAGCAGCACTGGGGTCACAGGGCAAGGACACTGTGGCAGAGCCACCTCCGAGGCTCAGGCTTGTCTCCTGGCTCATCCTCACCCTCTTCCTAGCAATATGCTTATTTTCACAATCAGGAACAATCCCATACAAATACCACAAACCATCCTTGGTCACAGCTCTCAGAACACAGGCTGTGAGTGCTGGGCTCCAGAGAGTGATAAGAATTCATTTCCCTGTGCCTGGGATGGCACTGAATGGTTAGTCCTGCAGTGCCAAGGTGCTTTGGGGAGCAGCAAGGAATCCTGGTTGGGAATTCTGGCAGAATTTCAGTCTTCACACAGGACAGGTTTTGCTGTGGCCATCACGGTGGCCTCTGGGGTATGGTTATTTGTTCTTCCCTTTTCAGAAGGCAGTGGGACTCAGCAAGTGGAATCTGGGAATTAGATGGTGCTGGGTCACCTGTGCTCATCATGGATGGGGATTTTGGGGGCTGGTGATGCTGTAGTGCCCCCTTGGTCTCAGCTGAGCCTCCTCCCCTGTCCTGTCACACAGGGACCCTTTCCGTAGTGGCCTTGGTGTGGATGCCCAATGAGAAGCAGAACTTTTAAATCCAGGTGCCAGCAGGATTTGCTCTGGTTTCCCCCTGGGCACAGGCTGAGCTGTGCTCCCCACCCTGCAGACCCTCCTGTGTGGATGGAGCAGTGTCAGGGCTGGGCACAGCATTGCCCAGGTGAGCACTAGCACTTCAGCAGCCCTGGGCAGGCTCTGGGCTGTGCTCCTCACCATGCAGACCCTCCTGTGAGGATGGAGTAGTGCTCTCACCTCCCCACTTCCCCGTGGCCCTCGGTGTGTGAGGGCTGATCCATCCCCGCAGGAGCCCCGGGCACATTCCCACTCCCTCTCCTCATACAACGCCTCCTTGTCGCTTTGATTTCTGCATCTGCTGTTAGATAATGCTTTTTTTTCTTCAAGAGGCCGAGAACTATGGAAAAAATGTAGCAATCTTAGCTTGGTTTGCGCCGTCAGACATTCCTGGAGGAGCCTTATCTGAGGAATCCAGCGGAGCACGGCCTGTGGGCCGCAGGGCCCCGTGCCAGCCCGGCCCGGCAGGGCTCTCCAGGAGATTCCAGCCCAGAGCCCCAGGCTGCCATGGTCTCTCCTCCAAAAATGGTCTTTGCTTTCCTCAGCTGGATGCTCTGTGCAGGAAGGGAGATCTCTTTTCTGCTGTGTTCTCTCTGGTTGTGGCAGGAGTGTAGAAGTGGGGAGGCCATGGGGCCGTCCATGGGATCCCCCACCCTCCTGCAGAGCCAGGAGATGTTTCTCCTTCCTGTTGTCTTCCCCCTTGAATTCACTTTATCAAAACTTAAATTCATTTTGCTTGGTTTTTCTCGCTAGACCATGATGCAAAAGGTACAAGGGTTGATCTTTGCTGTTTATAGCTTAGTTTATTCATTATGGTTTCATTTTCCCTTACGGTATGTAGTCTCTGTCATGCCAATGGTGTCTTTTCTATTGCCTACACTGGCACTAGTAAATGCTTTAGTTGGGTGTAGGGGGCAGCTTTGTTGTTTCAGGTCATATTCCGAGGCAGCTTCTCCTGTGGCTGACCTGTCCACAGGCAGGCTGGGGGTTTGGGGCTGTGTTAAAGGGAAAAGGAGCCCCTAAACCTTGGGAAGTGCTCGATCACTGGGTGCTGGGGCCCTGTGATGCCCACGCTGCTTTGCTGATGTGGTGGCCACAAGCAAAGCCCAGGTGCTTTCCCAGAGCAGATTTTATTAATGTTGTTAATAATGGGTGACACCAGCTCAACTCGGGCAGGGCTGAGCCTTCTCCAGCCCCGGGGAACTGAAACTCATCCCTTGGTGTTCTGAAATCACCTGAGGGGCACTCACAGGATCCCAGATGGTTTGGGTTGGAAGGGACCTCAAAGCCCATCCAGTGCCACCCCTGCCATGGCAGGGAAACCTCCCACTGTCCCAGAGACACCTCTCACTATCCCAGGGACACCTTCCCCTGTCCCAGGTGCTCCCAGCCCCAGTGTCCACCCTGGCCTTGGGCACTGCCAGGGATCCAGGGGCAGCCACAGCTGCTCTGGCACTCCGTGAAGGGCCTCACCTCCCTCTCAGTAAAGAATTTACTCCTAAAATCTAAAAATCATCCATTCCAAGAGAATATTTTCTATTTCGGGTCAGTTTGTCCTATAACTTTCTTGCCTTCAGAAGGAAAGGGATTTCCTCTGCTTAAAGCCAAATTTTTATTGTTGCTTGTTTTTCTTACGAAGAGCATCTGCTAAGGAGAGGTTGGGAGCTGGTGCTGGCTTTTTCCCAGCTGCCCCAGATGTCTTTGGCTCCCATTTCTTCTGTGAGAGGAGGGCTCAGACAGCCTTCCCTGCTATATTTGTGCTGTGACCCACAGAGGAACAGGAGGAAGAGGGCAGCATGTGGCCAAAGGATGACTGCCAAGCCAGAAGGGGTGGGGGTGTCCCCTGCAGAGTGTGGTGCTGGAAAAACCTTCAACTGCTTTTCAATGGCCTTGGTGAGCCCCCTGGATGTCCCTATGGGCTCAGGCTGAGTGACCCTGCCCGAGGTCCCTGGGACAAGGCACCAGTGCTGCCCACTCTGCTGCTGGACTGGCCATCCCTGGAGCCCTGGGAGGATCTGGGCATGGAGTGATGGATCTGCCACCTCAGCACAGGCCAGCAGGAGGTCAGAACCACCACCACGAGGGAGAGGAGCTGCCTTGGGCTTTGTGGAGCTGCTGGAAGGAGTTTTCATGGTGCCAGCAGCTTTCTGCTGCCTCAGCTGCATCAGGAGTGCCTCTGCAGGATGTGAGCTCCGTGGGATGTGGCAGCTCTGGAGAACTCTGGATCTCCTGCCCTCGTGGGCTGCTTGGATGGAGCTTCAAGGAGAAGGAAAGAGAGGAGGAGAGGAGAAGACAGAGGTTTGAGGGGTTCATGTCCATCTGCAGGAGCTCAGGAGAGGAGCAGGAGGCCCTGGAGGACTCGGAGCTCTGTGTTCAGTCTCTGCCTCCCTGCAGCCCCACAGGCACTGGAGTTTCTCTGGCCCTGGGGGTCCTGAGGGGCTCTGTATGAAGGGCAGCCCAGAGAGCTGCAGCTGAGCTGGTGCTTCTGCACCTCCATTTGACCCCTTCCCAGCCTCTTGGGGATGTTTGAGTACCAAAACCACTGCAAGTCCCAGCCTTTTGCTGCAACCTGCCACTTCAGAGGGGAGGATGTGAGCTGGGCTCAGGATCTTGGTCCTGCCGTGACACCTGAGAGTTGCTCTGGAAAAACTCTGCTCAGAAACCCTGGCTTTTCCTGGCAGCCTGGGCTGGTGCCTTTGTACCCACGCTGTTCCTGACCCTGCTGAGACTCAACTTGCAGCATGGAAGCAGCAACTTTTTCAGCTGGGGCATGAATTGCCCTCCTTCCCTCCAGCTTTGGCTGTGTTATGTGCTGCAGTTGCCTCCTTAATGGATGTTTTCTTCCTCAGAAGTGGTTGCTTTTTAAATGCACAGTGTACACACTTGGCAGAGGGAAAACTCCATCTGCAGAACGTTCCCATCAGCTGCAGATCCCAGCACGGAGGGGTTTTAATGCCCAGCACTCATTTAGGGAGCTCTTACAGCAGAGGATAAGCTGAGCTCTAATGAGTGTCTTCAGTGAGCACTTTGGTTTTCCTCCTTGGCCAGGGCCAAAGAGGGTGTGAGGGGTGTGAATGAAGCCCTGGGCAGGCGATGCCTGTCCTTCAAGGCCTCTGCTTCTGGCCAAGGACACGTTTTCACTGCCCTGTCAGTCGTGTCAGGGCATAAAAGCTCCCTGCAGGCAGGTCTGGGGCTCTGCTTCCCCGGGGCTGGGCTGGCTGCTGTCTCTCTGGGAGGTTCAGCTGCAACTCCTGCTCTGGGCTCCAATTGCTGCTCTGGGTTTCTTTCTTTCCTGCTGGATTTTAGGGCAGTGAAACACGGTCTTTATCTTCCCAGGGCTGAAGTCTTCTCCCTGCTGCTGTAAGCAGTGCTGTGAGCACATCAGGGCCTGCAGAACCTAAAGGAAAATTCGAATTTGCCCTGTAAGAACTCCTTGCCTTGTGTCTGGCTGCCTTTGTGACAGGGCTGTGCCCCCTCCTGCTGGCTCTGCTCCGGAAGCGGGTGCAGGGTGTTATCTGTCCTTTCCACGCTGCTTCCTTTCCTCCTTCCTCCTGAAGGACACAGATATAAACACGGAGCTGAAGAGATGCAGGGGAAAAATGGGATAACCAGCTCGCTGCCCAGGGGAAACCACAAATAACAGCCTGGGAGTAAACAGTGCTGACAGCCCAGCTGCAGCTCTGGGAAACTTGCTGTGTTTGAGATCCTGGGGCTGGACACGGCACCGACAGCAAAGGGTTAAAGGCACGTGGGGCTGAGCCCACAGAAACCCCACCTGCAGTTATAGGGGTGGTTATAAACGTATTAAAGGCAATTAGCTGTCCTAATCCAGCTGGAGTCTGTGGGCAGCTGGAGCTAATGCAGCTCTGGAGCTCGTGGGTCTCAGCCCTGGGCTGGGATCCTGCCCTTTGTTTTCACAGAGGAGGCCAGCACAAGTCAGCAAAGGGCTGGATGTGAGCTCAGAGCTCCGGGCTGTGGGATCATCTCCTGCTTTCCCTGCTCCCAGCCTGGCTGCCCAAACCCTCTGGCCACGGTGGGCTCCCCCCTCACGCTGCCTTTCTGTGCCTCTGACAGGGCTCTTTATTACAATGGGATTCTGCAAAGCTCCCGTAAATCATTTGCATTCAGAAGCAAAAACCGGGCAGGGGAGGCGGATGCAATTAAAGGGCAGCTCAGCTCAGCTCGGCTTTCTGTCTAGACAGCCCTCTCCTAAAATAACCAGCAGTGGGAGCATCCACCTCGAGCAGAAAGGCTCCTCTGGGCCGGATCCCGTGGCCTTTGCATCACAAAGGACTCGGCTTTCTGGTCCTGGAGGGAGCTGCAGGGCTTGGCTGCGGCTCAGCCGGTGCCCAGAGCCGGGAGAGGGTGAGAGGAGAGCTCAGCTTCCCCTCTGAGCTGGGATGGGAGCGCTGTCTGTGCCTGGAAGGGCTGAGAGGAGAGCTCAGCTTCCCCTCTGAGCTGGGATGGGAGCGCTGTCTGTGCCTGGAAGGGCTGAGAGGAGAGCTCAGCTTCCCCTCTGAGCTGGGATGGGAGCCCTGTCTGTGCTGAGGAATGGAGGCAGATGCAGTTCAACACTGCACATCCTCCAAGCACTTGGAGGTCTGATCTGAGCAAGGATTTAGGCAGGGACATGGGGCTGAGTCTGAGGCTTCAGGGCTGCCTCATGAAGGATCCAGCCCCAAGCAGGATTTTTCTGCCTTTCACTGGGTGGTTTGTGCCTCAGTTTACCTGCACTGAGTCCTGCATTTTGATTTCAAACCTTAGAAGGGAAGGGGAAGGCAGAGGGAGCACTGCCTCTTTCTGTCAAGCTGCAGCAGCCCTCGGCATGGAGCTGCATTTTGCTTGTTTATTTATATATTTTTTACGTGGGGTTTACACACCCACTAAGGCTGGAAATAGCTGAGCAGTGACTCACACAGGCTGGTTTAGCTGGCCTGCTCTGGGACACAGCTGCGTTTGGCAGCTGGGGAGGACTTCCAAAAGGTCCAGCTCCACAGGGGCACAGGGTGTTTTCCCTCCTGTGTGTTTACTTACCCTCAGAGCTCGGCCAGCGTGGTGTATCAGAACTCATGGCTTTGGTGTTTGCAGTACAGCTGAGCAGAGCTCAGTGCCCATGGTTTGGTGTTTGAGGCACAGCAGAGCTCAGTGCCCATGGTTTGGTGTTTGAGGCACAGCTGAGTAGAGCTCAGTGCCCATGGTTTGGTGTTTGCAGCTGAACAAAGCTCAGTGCCCATGGTTTGATGTTTGCAGCACAGCTGAACAGAGCCTGGTGTCAGGGTTTTGTCTCTACTCTGTTTTGTGGCAAACACTCCCGAGGCAGTGCCAGGCCTGTGATCTGTTGTGTTCCAGCAGCTGATTCATGGCATCCCCTGGCACCCGAAATGCTGCAGCACTGTGCCCGGGCTGGGCACAGCCCCCAGGTGCTCCCAAACCCACGGGAGCCAGGCTGGGCTGGTGGCATGGCCCTGGGCACAGCAGGGGCTCCATGTGCCCATGCTGAGGTGCCCGTGTGTCTGTCTGTCCCCAGAATGGCTGCAGGCTGTCCAAGCCATGATGATCCTCTCTGTCATCTTCAGTGTGCTGTCGTTGTTCCTGTTCTTCTGCCAGCTCTTCACACTCACCAAGGGCGGCCGCTTCTACATCACCGGAGTCTTCCAGATCCTGGCAGGTGAGCGGGGCTGAGGGTGGCACTGCCACTGCCACGGGCTCCTGGTGCCACTGCCACGGGAAGGGAAGGGAAAGGGAAGGGGAAGGGAATGAATGATTTGGGGGTATTGAGGATGGGATCCTGGGATGGGATCCAGCTCTTGGGCCGTTGTGCATCCAGGCTCTTCTGCCCTTGCACAGGGAAGGTGCCAGAGGGTTTCTGCCCCAGCCAGGGAGGCTCTGGAGGGACAGGGTGCCAGAGCACTGGGGCAGAGCTGGGGGCAGTAGATGACAGGGATGCTGGAAGGAGAGCTCTGTCTGTGCCCCAGGGTGGGATGTTGGGTGCCCAGGGTGGCTGTGCTGGCTCTGGGACCCTTCACCAGGCTGGGTGAGGCTTCCACAGCTGCTGGCGGGGTGGAGAAAGACGTGACAATCCTGTTTTGGCAAAAGAGGGCTGGGTGATTATTTATGACCTTGCCATGAGGGGGCCTGGTGCTTTCCCCATGAGCACAGAGCCCTGGAGCTACAGGGTGAGCTCTGACTTGGACTGTCAGCTGCTCTTTTTAACTCTTTGAGAACTCAGTGCTGGAAAGGAGCCACAGCTCATGTCCTCACATCCTAGGCTGCAGCTCCCCAAGTACTGATGCTGTAAAGCCACTGGCTCTGTTTATGTTTCCATGCTTGAAACCAGTGGAAAGGATTTTCAAGCGTTCAGACTAAAAAATGTAATTGTGCTTTGAGGTCCTGGCTGCATTAGGACAGAGTGTCTGGGGAGGAGATTGATTCTTTCCACGAGCTTTAGATGTTAGACTAGAAGCCACCCAAGGCCCTGCTATTTTATCAGTGGAAAAACTCATTCACTGAGCTTAGACTTTAAACTTTCTGGGTATCCTCTAAGCAACTGGCCTTCCCAAACCCCGGTGAAATCCAGAGCTAAGCTTTATTGGCATGAATTCCATGATGAGTGGATCTGCTTGGCCATAGTGCAGGTGGAGTTCAGATCAGTTCACCATCTCTGGAAAAAGACCTGTATGGAAACCCCTTGGAGCCAAGGAGGGGAAATGGGCATTAATAATGCAATCACCGGCAATTACCTCTGTTAGAGCTTCTCTAGTAGACCTGGGAGCAGAAGGCTTCTCTCCTGAGCTCTGGTCTCCCTGCTGCTGAGGGAGCCAGGGCAGGAGCACTGGGCTCTGCTGGATGCCAGAGCTGGGCAGAGCTGCCCTGGGAGCCAGGGAGGAGAGAGGGGCTGGTACCCACTGCAGGGGCACCAGGGAGGGCAGGGGCTGGTACCCACTGCAGGGGCACCAGGGAGGGCAGGGCAGGGGCTGGTACCCACTGCAGGGGCACCAGGGAGGGCAGGGGCTGGTACCCACTGCAGGGGCACCAGGGAGGGCAGGGCAGGGGCTGGTACCCACTGCAGGGACACCAGAGAGGAGGGCAGGGGCTGGTACCCACCAGTGAGGGGAGGATAGGGCAGAAAGAGAAGGGTGAGGCCACTTTGGTCTGTGGTGCAGCAGCCAGGCAGGATCATCCCCAACACCTTCACACAGCTTGGAATCACCCCCAAAGCCTGGCTGGATTTGTCCTGATGGGCTCAAGGGCTTCAAAAGGCCCTCAAAGGCTCCCCTGCATCCTTGGTGGGTCCAGCACATCCATGGGTAGATCTTTGTGCATGGCACAGATGTGGGTTTGGGCCCCTCGGGGTCTGACCCAAGTCCTGCATCCTTCTCATCATCCTTTCCATCTCTTCCCTCCCACCCCTCTCAGCCCAGAGCTGCTGCCCTGCAGAGGGGGGCTCAGCCTGCAGGGCTGTGCCTGCCCTCATCCCACAGCTGTTTGCAAACACCTGCCCTGGAGACTGCCCTGGTTCCTGTGCAGGCCGGGGCTGCTCTGGCAGGAACAAACCCTGGGAACAAATGTTGGGAAGCGTTTGCCCTCCTGACCTGCCAGAGCAGCATGCTCCCAAAGCCAGGCTCTGCAGGGATGCTGGGTGCATTATTGCTTGCAGCTGGCTGCAGCTGGGCCCAGAGCAGGGCAGGTGCCCCGGCAGTGCCCTGCAGCCATGGCCAGGCTCCTGCTGAGGACAATCGCTGCTGTATCTGGCCTCTGGAGGTGACTGGTGGCCACACGCCCGTCCCCTGTCCCCAGACAATGGCTGTGCTCTCTGTGCCTGGGCCAGGCAGTGGGAGTTGGCTCCCGTGCTCAGAGAATGGAAACTGCTCCTTAATGAAGTGAATTCCCACTTGTGCACTTTCCCTGAACAAAAGGAGCAGTGTTGAGTGGAATTGCAGCTCAAATATCACCGTGCTGAAATGTAGGTGGTCCTGAGGGCCGGGCAGGGGATGTGGGACTCGGCTCCAACAACAGCCCCACGGCTGGATAATAGAACTGCTGGGATGGACTCAAAGAGCTTGTTTGGGGCAGGAATAGAGGTGGCTTTGTGTGAGCTCCGGGCGGTGCCCACCCCTGATGGGAGGGTTTGCAACAACAAACCCTTAAACACTGCCCACCAGGGCTGGGCACCCCTGGGACCCCCACGGGCCTGGTTGGGCAGCGGGGCCATGAGGGATGAGCCCTGGGCATGGAGGGGTCTGCAAGGAGCTGGGGTTTCAGGGAACAGGGTTTGCTGGGAATGGGGTTTGTGGGGAGTAGGGTTTTCAAGGAACAGGGTTTATGAGGAGCAGGGTTTTCAGGGAACAGAGTTTTCAAAGAGCAGGGTTTTCAAGGAACAGTGTTTGCTGGGAATGAGGTTTGTAGTTGAGCTTCTGGTACAGCTGTGAAGGATGGGGGATCACAGCCAGAGCATCCTGAGGCCCAGCTGGGTTTGTTGTAGTTTTTATCACCTAGAGAGGTGACACAGATGCCTTGCTTTGAATGCCCAGCTCTGTCTGCCCTCCTGCAGCACTGCAGGGAGGTGGCGCAGGCCAGGCTTTACACGGGGCACCAGGGGAGTGGGACTGGTCTGGAGCAGCATCCCTGGTCTGCCTGAGGGATGGGTCAGCTCCAGAGCCTCTGGCTTTGCTTGCTAAGCATGGCAGAGACGTCCCTACTCACCTCCAGCCAGGCCAGAGCCTGCAGCATCCCCTCCCAAACCTCCCAGGGGACAGGACCCAAGGGGGCAGAGCAGAGCCAGCTCCTGTGGTGGTGCAGGCTGGTGTCCTGTGTGACTGGGCTCCCAGCAGGGACTGTCCCGTGTGTCACTGACTGTCTCTGTGTGACTGGGGCTCCCAGCAGGGACTGTCCCATGCTGTCACTGATTGCCCCCATGCTGCCCCTGGCTGCTGTCCTGTGTGACTGGGCTCCCAGCAGGGACTGTCCCTCTGTGCCATCACTGACTGTCCCTGTGTGACTGGGGCTCCCAGCAGGGACTGTCCCTCTGTGCCATCACTGACTGTCCCTGTGTGACTGGGGCTCCCAGCAGGGACTGTCCCATGCTGTCACTGATTGCCCCTATGCTGCCCCTGGCTGCTGTCCTGTGTGACTGGGCTCCCAGCAGGGACTGTCCCTCTGTGCCATCACTGACTGTCCCTGTGTGACTGGGGCTCCCAGCAGGGACTGTCCCTCTGTGCCATCACTGACTGTCCCTGTGTGACTGGGGCTCCCAGCAGGGACTGTCCCTCTGTGCCCTCACTGACTGTCCCTGTGTGGCTCGGGTCCCAGCAGGGACTGTCCCTCTGTGCCATCACTGACTGTCCCTGTGTGGCTCGGGTCCCAGCAGGGACTGTCCCTCTGTGCCCTCACTGACTGTCCCGTGCTGCCCCGCAGGGCTGTGCGTGATGAGCGGCGCTGCCATCTACACCGTGAGGCACACGGACTGGCACCAAGCCTTGGAAAGCACCTCCTACGGCTTCGCCTACATCCTGGCGTGGCTGGCCTTCCCCCTGGCCCTGGCCAGCGGCATCGTCTACGTCATCCTGCGGAAGCGCGAGTGACGCCGCGGGACGTGGCTGCGGCACCGTGACCTCCTCACCAGGGACGGGGCAGAATAGACGAGAAAATGGAAAAGAAAATTAACCAAAAAACCAAAAAAAAAAAAAAAAAACCAAACCAAAAAAGGAATCAACCCTCCCATCCAAACCAAACCCGACCGACCCCCCAGAGGAAACACTCAAAGGGTTCCTTGTTAATTAAAGATGTATATAGTATCTATGGTTTAAAAACCTATTTATAACACTTTTTACATATATGTACATAGTCTTGTTTGCTTCTGTTGACCATGCGCTGTTTTAAAGCCTAAAGCAAGTGCCTAAGGAACTCTCACTCCTAACAGTGTAACAGAGCGCAGTGATTTCTCTCTCATGCAAAATCCTCTTTGAGCTGACCTCTCCTGCCCTGTCCCGGCCCGTCAGAGCCCCCAGCTCTGGTTTTAGGCTGGCGTGGATCAGCCACGCCTGGTTCCACAGCCAGGGCTGGGCCCTGCTCCTGCCACATGCTGTGATCCACAGGGCACGTCCAGATCTGACGGGAGACGCTTCCAAAAGGTTTGAAGGATTTCGGAGCAAAGGCTTTGATTGCCCCAAGTGCCTAAATGACTTATGTGCCTAAGTCCCACTGCCTTGCCACCACACCCGCTGGGAATTGGGGCTTTTAAATCACTTAGGCCGACCTGCAGCCCAGCCTGGGCCCTTCTCCTTTGCTTAGCTGCTGGAGCTGGGCTGTGCCAAGCGCTGGGAACTGCTGTTCCCAGCCTGGAACGTGCTCTGCCCCTGCCATGGAGCTGAGCTGAGCTGGGAACTGCTGCTCCCAGCCCCTGCCATGGAGCTGAGCTGTGCTGGGAACTGCTGTTCCCAGCCTGGAACGTGCTCTGCCCCTGCCATGGAGCTGAGCTGTGCTGGGAACTGCTGCTCCCAGCCCGTGCCATGGAGCTGAGCTGCCCTGAGAAGGCAGCCAGCCCAGCCTGTCCCCTGAAATCCAATACCAGATGTATGAAATGGTGCTATCTATTTACCATTCCTTACCTGCTATGCCATTTAACCTTAGTCACTGGAAATTCAGTTAACGACCTTGAGGTAAACAACCAAGCTAGAAATGAGAAATAATTCTGTGTAATATAAATGAGCTATAACTGCTTTTGTACTTAGATTTGCTCTTACTATTATTTTTAATAAAGCATTTATAACCAAGATTCCTTTTTCCCCTCCGTGGTGCAGAGGAACAGAAGCAGCTCTGGCTGGAGCCCATGGGGCTCCGGCAGCAGAGCGAGATGTGATTCCTCTGTCTGTCAGCAACGAGTCTGGCCATGAATGGAACAGGCACCAGCACAGACCCCAGGCTGCCTCTGAGGACTCCAGACACTGTTGCTTTTTTTGGTTAATCTTGGGGTTTTTTGGGGTTATATTTTTTTTTTTTTTTTTTGCTTTGCTTTTCTGATTTTATACCGACTGTGTGGACTAAGAAGCAATGAAATAAAAGTCAGAATAACTCAGGTGCTTCTGCTTGTTGGGGTTTTGGGAGGTTGGAGCTGGACTCTGCTCCACTGGCCTGCTTGGCAACACAAGTCACCCACAGCCATCCCATGGCATCATGGAATCGCAGAGTGATTTGTGTCGGAAGGGACCCCGAAGTCCATCCTGTTTCCCTGGCTCTCCTCTGGGGCTGCAAACACACAGCACAGCTCGGTGGGGATGGGAGCTGCTGGGTGACCCCTGCACCATGGTGCTTCTGCACCTCCTTTGCCCATTTCCCCTGTTACCCCGCCCCGTTATCCCCCATTATTTCCTGTTATTCCCCCCGTTGTTCCCCCATTATTTCCCCCGTTATTCCCCGTTATTCCCCCGTAATTCCCCCTCTAATTCCCCCATTATTTCCCCGTTATCCCCTCCGTTATTCCCCCGTTATCCCCTCCATTATTCCCCCCATCATTCCCCAGTTATCCCCATTATTTCCCCCGTTATTCTCCCTGTTATCCCCCATTATTCTCCACATTATTCCCCCGTTATCCCCCCGTTATCCTCCCCATTATTCCCCCCGTTATTGATCCAGTTATTCCCCCCGTTATTGATCCCGTTATTCCCCCGTTATTCATTTCCCAGCCCGTTCCCGTCGGTCCCGGCCGAGCGCGGAGCGCGGGCGCCCTCCGGTGGCTGCGGGCGGAGCGGCGGCCGTGGGACCCCCGAGGCCCGCCGGGCTTGGGGACAAAAACAGCCGGGCTGGGGACAAACAGGATCGGGCTGGGGACAAACAGAGCCGGGACTGGGGACAAACAGGGCCAGGCTTGGGGACAAACAGAACCGGGCTTGGGGACAAACAGAGCCGGGACTGGGGACAAACAGGGCCAGGCTTGGGGACAAACAGGGCCAGGCTTGGGGACAAACAGAACCCGCCTTGGGGACAAACACCAGCTCCAGGCTGGGCTGGGCTTTGTTTCACCAGCCTTGAAGACCTCCAGGTGTGGAGAGTCCCCAGCGCTCCCCTGGAGGGAAAAAGCCTTTCCCAAACACCCCCGGCCTCACCTGCCCTCGCTGCCTGCGCTGGGCACAGCACCCGCCCAGGGATGGGGCACCCCAGCTGGGACTGGACTGGGCTCATCCCCTCATCCCCATCAACTCCCCAGGGCTAGAGCAGCTGCCGGAGGGACAGCGGGGTTGGGGCAGGACCAGCCTCGCTGCCCGATCAGCTGAGAGCACTCCCTGAGCTAAACGAGCCGAATTTCAGCTCCCTGGGGCTCCAGCCCAATTAAAATCCGAGCAGCCCATAAAGCAGCGAGCGGAGCACAACAGCAGCAGCGCGGCACGGAACGGCAGAGGGGCGAAAAAAAAAATTCGGGAAGTTTCTTTAATGTGTGTTGTGCCATAAAAGCAATTGTTCAAATGGCTTTTGCGGCGTTCTCAGCAGTAAATACTCCTGGAAAATGCGCTCAGCAGATCTCATCTCCGTCTTCCATTTACTGCCTTGTAAATTGAAAAATTACGGTGGGAATGGAAGCCGGGGGAGCCCGGGCACGGCTGCGGCTCCAGCCCCGCTCCGGCCGGACGGGGGCGGCCCCGGACCGGGAACGGGAGCGCTGCGGGAGCGCGGGGCAGCGGCGGGGCCGGACTGGGCCGGGCCGGGCCGAGCAGAGCCGAGCGGGACCGAGCCCTGCCCCGAGAGACCCGGGACATGCGATACGGGACACGGGACCCGGGATATGGGGCAGGACACGGCTCAGCCTCAGTGCGGGCTGCAGCAGCCAAGCCTCCCTCAGGTGAGACCCCAGCGGCAGAGCGGCTCCAGCCCTGCGATCCAGCCCTGGGATCCATCCTCTGCTCCCAGACACAGATCCGGGCTGAGCTCTGGGATCCATCCCCTGCTCCCACCCCACAGATCCGGGCTGAGCTCTGGGATCCATCCCCTGCTCCCCCCATTGATCCAGGCTGAGCTCTGGATCCATCCCCTGCTCCCACCCCACAGATCCGGGCTGAGCTCTGGGATCCATCCCCTGCTCCCAGACACAGATCCGGGCTGAGCTCTGGATCCATCCCCTGCTCCCTCCCCACAGATCCGAGGCTGCTCCTGCCTCTCCAGCCTCCCTGAGCTCCCAGCATTAACAAGGCACTCCCCCAGGCTGATGAAAGGATAAAAGCTCCGTGTTGTCCCTGGTTTATTTGCTTCCTGGGGGATAATTCAACACATTTTGCTTTCCCCAAGGGTGGGTTTTCCTGGGGGAATCTTTGGCTGGCACTTTGCAGGATGGTTTTATTGCTCCTCTGCAGGCACTGGCTGGGGAGAGGCTTTATTTTAAACTCCTTTAACTGCTTCGTTACAGCCTTTGTCAGTCCTGTCTCCTTTCATATCCACTTTTTCAGCTTTCATTTCCCAGGGCTCCCTCTTATCTGCCTTCGGAGGCAGCCCTTGTAAAAGAAATTTTTAAAAAGGAAAATCAAACCTCAAAGCTCTGTCCCTGGGCTGCTTTCAAGAGAAAGGCCCCTGCCCCCTTTCAAACCTCTTTGGGGAGGAACAGATCCCAGCCCGGCGTGTGCCACAGCCCCGGGAACGCCTTTGAAGTGAATTAAACCAAATTAGTGTCTATGATATGGATGGGCAGCGGAGCCCCGCTGTGTCCCTGGCCTGGCCCTCGGTGCAATCTTTAACCCCTGTCCCTGCTCCCCCCCCTAATTGTCCGTGAAACACCTGGGGGTGGCCTGGGGGATCCCATCTGCCCCGGGCAGGATCCCCGCTCCGAGGGGATGGGGGGTTAATGGGCCGGGATAATGAATTACCTCCCACCTCCCCTTCCTTGTGCTCAGTGTCCCATTCTGCTGCTGCTTCTCTCTTATTCCCCCTTAATGAGAGACCCCTGAGCCATCCCAGCCCTGTCCCAGAGCCTTGGGACATCCCAGCCCTGCCCCAGCCTGTGACAGACCCGGGGGGCCTTTCCTGATGTCCCCGGGCTGTGACAGCCCTGTAAGGTGGGCAGCTCCTCGGGTGGGGTTCCCAAAGGCTCTCCCAGCCCTGTGGCACTGTGACAATTCCTCATGTGGGTTCCCGGCCCCCGACACTGTGGCAGCTCCTGGGGGGTTCCCAAAGGCTCTCCCAGGTCCCCAAAGGCTCTCCCAGCCCCTGGCGTCCCCATCCAGCACTGCAGGGCCAGGCTGCCTTTGGCATCCACGGGGCTGAGCTGCGCTGGGTTTATTTGGTCAGGGCAGCTCGTGGTGGGGATTTGGGGTGTGCCAGGGGAATCTGACGGTCCTCTGGCCCTGTGGGGCTGGGAAAGCAGCACATGGTGCCCTTGCAGGTTGGGCAGGCTCAAGGGAAGCCCAGGGATATTTGCATATGCAAATTACACCTGTGAAAGAAATGATTTATGCTTCCCTGCCCCGTCCCGAGGGCCTGCCTGGATCCCCTGAGCCGCCACCAACATTTGGGGTTCACCAAGCCACAGCAGGGTCGCCTGCTCCTCTTCCTGAGGGGTCTCAGAGCAAACCCTGGGGACCCCTGGGACAGCTGTCACGGTGCTGGAACATCTTCATGCGGTGGCAGAGTGTGCAGAGGGCTCTGGGCTCAGCTGTGGCAC